AACTGACAAGTATCAGTCTTTCTAGCTGTCTAACATCACAGTCTGTGTAATTTTAAACTATGTTCTCTCTTCGAGGTTTCCATCATCTGCCGTTTCCTCCTCTGTGCCACTGTAACCTTTCTATCTCATTCAGGTTACCACCCATTTAGGATACAAAGTCTAGTACCAGCTCTGAAATTTATTAATATGCAACTAAGTACTCTGGTTCTTAGTTTCCTTAACTATACAACGATTATGTGACATTTAACTACTTTTAAGTTCTATTTTAAATATATAACTCTTCACACAAAAACCTAGCTACAAGAAAAATCTACCCAGCCATTTTCCCTCTAGTAATAATTATCTTTAGTAAGTTTCATTTTGATCATATCACTCATCAAAAATCTTATAATTACTTTAAATTAGCTCTCAAATGAAAGCAAGTTAACATTCAACCAATTAATTCCCCATTACCTAACATGTTCTTCTATTATACTCAAATTTACAGTCACATGCTAAAGCCAGGGGCTAAAAGAACTAAAATCACTAAGTGGCTAAACTGTGCCAGGCAATGTGAAGCATTTTATATACACTATCTCAATTTTTCTTCCTAACAGTGCTATGAGGATTATACTTTATCCCCATATTCAAGATGGTGAAACAGTGCCCAAAAGTAGGATTATTAAGTTGTTTACTATCAAATAGCTAATAAGTAGCAGATGAACAATGAACCCAGGCTCTTTGGCTTCAAAGCCAACATTATAGCAAATCTATTACATTAAAAATGAACAGAAAGAAACATTTTATAGTCATAAATATTCATATGTAGTCACACATATAGTGTGAATATATACATCCCCTTCCTCATTCTTTAGGAAGAGGATGCAAATGTAACAAAACATGAAGACCATGTCTATACACTAACAACCTCAACTATATTTCTCTTTCTGGTGGGCTTGACTGAATTATATTGGTCTAACTATTTAAATAGTTAATTTACACCATATAACAATGCTATTTCTCTGGCCCTGAAAGAGAAACTATCATAGTTGAAAAATATCTTAGAAGTGTAACCATTCTGATGCAAGAATTCCCTTATATTCTCTTTATAAATTGCTTACTGAACTTTATTAAGATAAGGATTCACTAATTCCTATAACAGCTCATTTCATCTTTTAACAGTATTATTCTGTTATAATAGAATATAAGATGAAATCTGCCATCCATTGACTTTTGTCCTCCACAAAGTACATAGTCAATCTAAGGATAAAAGATGTGCTACAGCTTACTGCTTGCCCTTTCTCCAAGCATTTGGCAAACACTGCTACTTGATCAGTATAATTTTCTCTGTAAACCAAAATGTACCCAGTAAATCTTAGTGAGCCCCAGAAAACCACTACCAATCAATTAGAGTTGACATACATAAATGGAAATCTCTTGCTATTCTTAGTCTACTACTTTTTACACATGTTCTTTTTAAACAAAGTTACCAAATCTTTGTTAAATATCCTCTTTAATAGACTTAAAATCCCATTTTCCTTCAATGGTTTCACATGTAACATGATTTTCATTATCTCACCATTCTGGCATTCTGTACTGTATAACTTTTTAAAATGCTTATCTCATCTGAAGTATGATCTAATGCAGCAGAAAAGATTTTTTTTAAAGGTTTTATTTATTTATTTTTAGAGGGGAAGGGAGGGAGAAAGAGAAGATAAACATCAATTTGTGGTTGTCTCTTGCTCACTCACCCCTCACTGGGAAGCTGGCCCACAACCCAGGCATGTGTCCCAACTGGGAATCAAACCAGTGACCCTTTGGTTCAAGGGCCAGCACTCAGTCCCCTGAACCACAACAGCCAGGGCAAGATTTTTTTTTTTTTACTTCTTTTTGGCTAACCTTTGTCCTCCTAACCTTGGGATACTGCTTATAATTTAGTTGTTATACGCTGTTTTCTTACTTATAAACGCTTTCTCATGATGGGTTAGTAACTATTTTTGTTACCTTCTTTAGCACACGGTACTTATTTTTATCAAAGTATTTATCACAAGTAATTCAGATGATGTTAACTCCCCTATTAAAAGCCCCTCAATTGTCTTCCAATATATAGCCTATAAAGACCCTGGCAATCTGGCACTTACCTACAGTTGTTCTTTCACATCACACAAATCTGTCTTACTATGTTTATTCTTACAACACATCAAGCTCTCTAGTACCTTGCTCAGGGGGGAGGTGGGGTGGTGGTGGTGGTTATGTTTTGTATCCTCTGCTGGGAACACCCTCTCTGGATCTTTGCAGGTTTGGTAACTTTTTACTCACCAGGTATTAAACATAGCCTTCTCAAAAAGACTTTCTCTGATCACTCTATTTACAGTAGTCCCCCAATTTACTTACACTACCATATTTACGTCCTTCTCTGTACTCGTAGACTTTAAAAAAAAACTTGTTTACTACTCATCTTCATTCATTATAATGTAAGGTTCATAAATATAGGGAATTGGACTATCACTATTTTGATTGTCACTAGCATCTAGAATGATGCTTGGCACAGAACAGAAAATCAGTGATTATTAAGCTTACAAGTTCCATTATAACAGTAAGTAAATGTTACCTCTGTAAACTGGATCTAGTACATATAAGATGTTCAATAACTGTGAAATAATGGAGTGATGTTATCCACTTGGCATTTACTATGACCTCAAATTCAAAGATCGCTTCCAAATCCACTTATCGAGCCCTGACCTCTAGTTCCACACCTTTAGGTATATAGAACCTATATACCTATGTATCTATAGAACTAGCTATACATCCTCCTCTGGTACTGATCTTTTCTAACTTCTATGGCATCATTTTCTTTGAAAATTATAAATTCAAAAAAAAAGAAAATTATAAATTCCTTCTCTACTCATATCCACTTAGTTACTAAGTCATACTAATTTTTCTTCAATTCTTACTGTATCTATTCCTTTTGCCATATTTTACCTTAAGCTCTCATCATTTTATAGTTGTAGCACTAGAGCAGCTTCATCATTTATATGCCTCCTCCCTCAAATTCATTCTTCATACGAATCTGATGATCAATTTTTCTGTTATGTTCCCCATCCCCATACCAATTAGTATTCAAAATCCTAACATCCAAAGTCCTCAATATCATTTTAACTAAAGTCATTAAAGGGAAGGTATATATGGGAAATTAGTGGTAGACTATTTTCTCTTTTGATTTTGAGAGTATATTTATTAAAGCTACGGACAGTGAAACAAGAAAGGGCCTAGGCTAGAAGAAGCCACAGGAGAGGGACTAGTCAGCCTCTCTAGAAATGTGACAGGAAAGAAACGAGTCTGAGAGTGGCTGCTTTGGCTTACTGGGAAGTCAGGGAAAAGGAGGACTCGGAGAAAGGTTCAGAGGGTTAGCCCAGGATGAGCTGTTGTTGCCTACTGCTCCCCTGGTTGCAAGTATTGGGGGGGGGTCCCTTAGAGTTTAGGAGATACATGCCTCTGGGGGAAAAAGGGAGAAAGAAAAGGCGTGGGCGTGCTTCCAGGAGGGAGAGCATGCCGAGATGGTAGATTATTTATTTAAATTGTTGTTCAAATACAGTTTTCTGCCCTTTACCCCCATCCCAGCCCATCTCCCCCAGCCTCCCCACCTCCCTCCTGTCTCCTACCCCTCCTTATTATTGTCCACATGTCCTTTATACTAGTTCCTTCCAACCCTTCCCCTCTTCCCCTGAAAATCCCTCCCCTTTCTCCTCTGGGAGATGGTAGATTCATATACACAGTTTCAGATGTTAACGGTAAAAAGTCTGCAACTAATCAGATATATATATTGAAAAGCCACTGAAGTGTAAGTTCCTTGAAAGATCTTGTTTATACTGTTATATTGCTGCTCATCTACCACCTGCAAGTCCCTGGAATACAGTAGGTATAAATGAATATGTGCTGAGTAAATAAATAATTTTTATAATAATTTTTCATAAAAACAAATGAATGATCCTAAGCCAGAGAATGAATGCTAAGATGAAAGCAGTATTCTCTGAAAGATAAGTCTGGTACTCACACATATGGAGATTAGTTAGTAAATTAGTAAAAATGGCCAACATTAATTGTGTTCTTAGTGAGCTCTTACCACTATTCTAAAATTTTTACATGGATTTAATCATTGTACACCTCAACACTGCAGACACTACTAAAGATAAGAAAATTGGTGTACATAAAAGTTTAAGTGTTTTGCTCAAGTACACAAACATGGTAAGTGGCAGACACAGTACTGAAACCAACCAATGATGAGGGTCTGACTGGGGATAAAAAAAAAGATAAATTGTAAAAGTAAAGGCTACAGCAGTAACCACTACCACACATAATCATTTCTGCTTTCATTAATACATGTAATTTTTAAAATGACACATGTACCATCAATCTGAATACTAAGTGATAAAAAAGCTTGAAGTCTTTTATTTCTAGATAAAATTACAATTAATTTTTAGTATTTTCTACTCATACTCCAATGGATATATTAGAATATGAGTAATAAAATTATTTATCATCGTAAATTTACATTTACTGTAGACTAATTAACCACTATGGCTATGGATTGCGTTCTAGCCATTCACATCACTTACAAAAGCCACTGAAACACATGGAAGGCTGGCTGGATAAATAAGCATTTAACAGTTCATTTCAAATCCACCTTTGATAATAAAACCTACAAATGGTAAATCAATGATTAGAGAGTACAATATTAAAATAAATTTTAATATTAAGTCTTACCTGGTTGCCAACCTTTCAAGGTTAATACAAACTACATATTTTCAAATCACTGCACAAATGAAAGCTACAGCAGCAATCTTGATACTCACCTCTATCTTAAGGTAGACAGATTTACCTAACTCAACAGATGAGAAATGTCAAAAGTACTAGGTTCTTCTATTCTGTTAAAAATAAAACTTCTCAAATTCTTATGAAACACAAATTTTAAATTCAAAATGACTATAATAAAAATTTAAGTAAAAAGTTTCCCATCTTACCCTGTCTAGTTCCAGTGTAAACTTCTGGTCCCACGACTGATTGGAAATGGGTTTCCAATAAGTTTGACCAACCACAGTATTATCTAGCTTCAAAACTGCGCAGACATCATCTGTAATTACAATTTATAAACTTGCTTAAATATTTTAAGACCTTTATAATAGAAGTACCACCATTTAATGGAAACACAAGTCTTCCAATCCTTTGAATATAAGGTTTTTCTTACTGAATACTGAAGCTTTTCATTCTTTTATTTATTTTTAGAAAGGGGTAGGGAGGGAGAAAGACAGAGAGAGAAACATCAATGTGTGGTTGCCTCTCATGACTCCCTACTGAAGATGTGGCCCGCAACCCAGGCATGTGCCCTGACTGGGAATCAAATTGTTTACCCTTTGGTTTGCAGGCCAGCACTCAATCCACTGAGTCACACCAACCATGGCATGAAGCTTTTTAATCTTAAATAGCTAGTTTTTATATATATATATATATATATATATATATATATATATATATATATATATATATAAACTACCATTAGATACCCCCAGTTTTATCACCTTTGACAAAAACAAAAATACCAAGGGCTACCTATTTTTATTAGAATGTAGTTGGAAGGGCTAGTAGGTAACAGTGACTGTTTGCCACAATGTGTGTATATATGCATGTTTGCAGGGTTTACCCTGGAACAGTGTGGAGGTTAGAGGTGTTCAACCCCCGTGTGGTCAAAAATCGGCATACAACTTTTCCCCAAAACTTAACTACTAATAGACTACTGTTGAACAGAAGCCTTACTGATAACATAAAGTCAAGTAACACATATTTTGTATATTAAATACATTATGCACTGTATTCTTATAATAAAGTCAGCTAGAAAAAATATTAAAACATTGTAAAAGAAAGTACATTTATAGCACTGTACATACTTATTGAAAAGAATTTACATTGCTTCTTGGCTTTTGGCTAAGATCAAGTGTATGTATCTATTCTGATCAGTTTAAGACCTGATAAGGACGTATCAGGTGTTATATTGAATGAATTTTTGGAGCAGGGAGATGGAGTAGGAGCTTGCTCTGTCCGCACCACATATTGACCTGAAATTGCAGGACCTCTGGTAATGGTACACGGAAAAAAGTGCAACCGTCCAGTTTCTCTCTCCTTATATTTGCTATTTATAGAGTTTGTTACCTTAGACATTTTTTATTTTCGCATTTTTCCTAAGATCTCTACCTATAGAAAAGCGAAGGCACACTCACCTTTGTATTATACATTGGTTGAAATGTCATGTACCTTTCTCCCTAATTACATATTTGTATCATAGTTTATAATTATACTTAGAATATCTCCAAAGTGCTGCATCAACCTTTTATACAGGGTCTAGCCCAAATAATGCCCCTTTTTCATTACAAAATCTTTTATTACAAAATAATAAGTATGTAATTCTGCAACAAAACAACATCACACTCAAGCACAGCATGTGACATTTTTGGTGAAACATTCAAATTAAAACTATAAATTACTACCCCCACATTATCACCCCACCAACTGCAGTCGGGCAGACATTACTTCTGCCCTGTACTGCACTCTTCCCACCTTCACCTATGCCCCCACTTCAGAATGCTACTGGGGCAGTGGGCGACTGTCCTAGTACACATGTCTGCTCCAGTGGTTAGTTATCGAAAGTTCAGTATTAGTTAACAAGTGTCACTACATCACTGAAAGAATTAAGATGTGATGAGTCCCACAGCCTCTATACACTTTTAGTTTGGCATAAAGAGTGATGCTCAATATATCATTCTGCCAAAAGAATTAATGTTTTATGTCATTCCATTTTCTTATATATTTTCAACAAAGTAAATGCTGTTGCCTTTTTCATTTTCCTGTCATTATAGCTTTTAATATTTTAAAATTAAATTATGAAAATCATAATTTTAAAGTTTTTTTTTGGTCCAATTTTGACTCTCCCCATTCTACTCTATTCCCAATGCTAAGTCCTCTGTATAGGCCCTTTAATTTGTTACATAATTTTAAAAAAATCTGTTACTGAACTGGACAAGTCATCGGTTTTTAAGAGATTTCGACTACTTCCACTTTTACTTTTGCTCGTTCTGCTCATGAAAGATGATCTGGTTTCACTTGGACTCCAACCAGGTAGTGCAACCGATGTTGCTTTTGATCGTCCAGGGACATTCTCTAGGATATCTTGACAGCCCATAAGACGAACTTCCAAAGTACCTGTTAGCATTAAAAAAAGTCAAATAGAACATCAATTTTTAATATATAAAACTATGTCTTTGTTACCTATTAGGAAATGGGGCTCAGGGAGATCATCTAAAATAGCAAAATCTCTTCTCCCAGAGGATCTGTGAGGTAACTAACATCTTTCCTATTTTAATTAGAGAAACCTATTAAAAAATCTTACGTCAAATGTAAGCCTGGATGAAAAAGCCTGGATTTGCTTTCAACTCAACAACTTAAAAAAAAAAAAATCAGACAATATATTTGAAGAAACTTTCATGGAAACAACAGCACCTCACAAATATTGTCTGTAGGGCATAAAACAAAGCAAGTTGCATAAACTTCTATATATCTGAATACTTATTTCTATAATTATATGGAAGAATGACAGAATTACGAGGACAGAACATGTGGGAGGGGAAACATAAAGCAAAGTAATATGGCTATTAAAAGAAAAACATAAAAATTAGAAATCTGACTATGTGAATAACAGATTTCACATAGTTATTCACATAGTTATGTAGATAACATAGAAAAAGACTTTACAGGTTTTCTAGGATAATGGGATTCTGTTTTGTTTGAAGATGTAATATAACATTATCTTCCCATGCTAATAGTTTAGTAAACTAATTATTGGTTGTAACTATCCACACATAAAATAACTGCTATTTTCTTTGGTAAATAAATACTAATGGTGTTCAAAATGAAAACGAGGAACTGTGCGTTAGGGTACCTGGAGATATGGCTTTGTCATCATTTGGGCTAGACACAGTGTACTGGATTTAAAAATGGCTGCTTTAGTGTTAGTACTTTAGATCCTGTACATACACACAGCATAACATTTTAGAAGGAGTATTCCCTGGTAAAAGCTACCCCATCAAAGTTAAATAATTAACACTTAATTTTACTTAAAGTTTTAAAATATTTAACAGTAAGCAAAGGACTTTTTTAAAATTATTTTTTATTCTCACCCAAAGATGTACTTATTGATTTTAGAGAGGAGAAGGGAGGGAGATAGAGGGTGAGAAAAATCGATGTGAGAGAAAAACATCAATCGGTTGCTTTTTGCACAAGCCCCAACTAAATCCACAACCCAGGCTTGTTCCCTGATGTGGTATCAAACCCGTGATGGCCCTCCAACCAAATGAGCCACACTGGCCAGGGCCAAAGGGCATTTTAATAGAATGGAAAAGCCTGGTTTTGCTTTCAACTCAACAACTTAAAAAAAAAAATCAGACAATATATTTGAAAAAATAGTATCAAAGACTTTGGACATCAGGCAATGAAGAAGAGCGATCCCTAAGAAATAGGAAACAAATGAGACGGGCTGTAAGTCTGATACAGTTTACTGCCTTGAGAATGTCCAGGACACAGTACAAGGAGGGAGGATTTCAGGTGGAGCCAAGTAGACTACCTGAGTTAAGGAGACAGAAGAGTGAAACGATCAAGGCAGCTAGAATTCATAGGTAGATAAGGAAAATAGCTGTCCAGAGACAGAACTCCTTGGACTGGTTCCTTTGATCAAGTACTCAGTCTTCGCCCAGTAAGTAAAGATTAATTACCTATAGACTAAAAATGTTCTGGTCCCATGTAACAAATCTTAAAAGCAATCCTCAAAAGATCAAACTGTGTCCAAGTAGCAAAACTGTAACATAACTGTTTCCAAGAACAAAGCTCAAGAATATTTATAGAAATACATAAATATCCAGTACCCAACAAGCTAAAATTCAAAATGTCAGACATTATCAGCTGGATTTGTTTTCTACTGCTACATTTTCAATTGCCACAAACTTAGTAGTTTGAAACAATACCCGTTTGCCATCTCATAGTTCTGTACGTCAGAGCCTGGGTGGGCTGGTCTGCAATCTCTGGTCAGATCTCTCAAGGCTGAAATCATCATGTTTGCCAGGCAAGGTTCTTATCTGGAAGCTCTAAAGACAAACATGCTTCCGAGCTCATTCAGGTTGTTGGCAGAATCCAGTTTCTTGTAGCCATTGGACTGGGAATGCTATTTTCTTGCTGGTTAAGAGCTAGGAAATATTTTCAAGTTCTGGTGGCCCCCTCCATCTCTGAGTCATAAATGGTATTCATGATTCAGCTCTCTGACTTCCCCTTTGCCATGAGTCTCTGAAAATCCTCTGCGTTTAAGGAGCTCGGGTGATTGTATCAGCCCCATGCAGGTAAATGCCCTTTACATTAACTCAAAGTCAGGGAATTAACAGTAATCTTAACAACACATGTGAAACCCCCTTTACCGTATATTATTACAGAAGTGATGTCCACCATATTCACAGGGGAGCTGTTCTACTACTCATTCTTAAAATTTTGCCTATCACACCAGGCAAGCAAATAAACAGAAAACTAGAAACCATAATATAAAAAAAATCAAATGAAAAACAGATCCAAAAATGACAAGTTAGGAAGCAGATAAGAACATTCACACAGTTATTATAACTATATTCCTTCCATCTATTCAAAAGTTGAATAGACATAAAAAATATCAAAAAAGACCCAAAACAAATTTCTAGAGATGAAAACCACAATGTCTGAGATTTAAAGAAAAAAGTACTGATGGGATTAGTTAGCAGATTATACACTGAAAAAAAAAAAAAAGGCTAATGGACTTGAAGCTATAACAATAGAAATGGTAAAGTATAGGAGACAGAAAACAAAGACTTGGGGGAAAAACTGTAACAATGCATATGTGAACTATGAGTTTCACTTCAAGTGGCCTAATATTTGTATTACTTAAGTGCCTGATAAAGAGCAGGAGAGAAGAGGGGGCAGAAAATATATCTAAAAAAATAAGGGCTGAAATTTTTCTAAATTTTTGAAACCTATAAACTCAAGAAGTAGCCAAGAAGTTCAATAAAGCCCTGACCAGCATGGATTAGTTGGTTGAGCAATGTCCCACAAAGCGAAAGGTCAGTGGTTGGATTCCTGGTAAGGGCACATGCCGGGTAAGGGCACATGCCTGGTAAGGGCACATGCCGGGTAAGGGCACATGCCTGGTCAGGGCACGTGCCTGGGTTGCAGGCCTGGTACCTGGTTAGAATGCATGGAGAGAGGCAACTGATTGATGTTTCTCTCACACATCAATATTTCTCTCCCTCTCTTTCTCTATCCTCTCCCATCTCCTCTCTCTAAAAATAAAGTCTTTTCTAAAAGAAGTTCAATAAACAAGAGAAAAAAAAAGTAAATCACACTAATGCTTAGAATCAAATTTCTTAACACAAGCTATAAAAAAAGATTATAAGTAGAAAAAACCATGATGTATACAAAGATTAAGATGCTAGCAGATTATTCACTTGAAACAATGAAGACAGAGAAGCAACATCTTTAAAGTACTGCAGAAAAAAATAAATAAACTGTGATATTAGAATTTTAAAGCCACAAAAAATATCTTTCCAAATTAAGGCTTTCAGATATAAAATGAGTAAGGAATCCATTATCAGAAGACTACCATATGATCCATCCACAGTATTCCTCAGTCTTTACCCAAGTGAGCAGAAACCTGTTTACACAAACACTGTACCTGGATGTTGATAACAGCTATATTTTTAAAAGTACAAAAGGAAAACAACCCAAATATCAGCTGCAGGTAAATGGCTAAATGAAGTATAGTACATGCACACAAGAGAATACTTAAACAATAAATAGAAACTATCAACCATGTAGGCCCCAGTGGCGGGAAGTGGCAGAGGGGACCGCCATTGTCCCTCTCACCCACCCCCACATACACCATCACAACCCAGTGACCTGGGTGGCTCTGCCCTGGTGAACACCTAAGGCTCCACTCATCATATGTAACAGGCATGAACAGATCAAAACATGGTTCAAGAACAACTCAGAGCCCCAGAGCCAATAAATATAAGCGATGAAGAAATAGCCAAACTTTCAGATGCACAATTCAAAACACTGGTGATCAGGATGCTCACAGAACTGGTTGATTTTAGTCACAAATTAGAGGAACATACGAAGGCTAAACTAATTGAAATGAAGGGAAATGCACAGGAAAGCAATAGTGATGGAAAGGAAACTGGGACTCAAATCAAAGGAGTGGGCCAAAAAGAGGAAAAAAATGACCAAACAGAAAAGGATGAAGAAACAAGAATTCAAAAAAATGAGGAGACTTAGGGACCTACAGGACATCTTTAAATGTTCCAACATCCAAATTATAGGGGTACCAGAAGGGGAAGAGGAACAGCCACCAGTGGAAAACTTATTTGAACAAATAATAAAGGAGAATTTCCCCAATCTGGCAAAGGAAATAGACTTCCAGGAAATCCAGGAAGCTCAGAGAGTCCCAAAGAAGATGGACCCAAGAAGGAACACACCAAGGCACATCATCGTTACATTAGCCAAGATTAAAATGAAGGAGAGAATTCTAGAAGCAGCAAGAGATAAGGGGGCAGTCACCTACAAAGGAGTGCCCATCAGACTGTCAGCTGATTTCTCAAAAGAGACCTTACAGGCAAGAAGGGGCTGGAAAGAGGTATTCCAAGTCATGAAATTCAAAGACCTACGTCCAAGATTGCTCTATCCAGCAAAGCTTTCAATTAGAATGGAAGGGCAGATAAAGTGCTTCTCAGATAAGATCAAATTCAAGGAGTTCATCATCACCAAGCCCTTATTATATGAAATGTTAAAGGGACTTACCTAAGAAAAAGGTAAAAAAGATAACAGTGAAAGGACAGCAAACTCACAGTTATTAAAAACCACACCTAAAACAAAAGCAAACTATGAGGACAGCTAGATCAGGAGCAGAACCAGAGAAATGAAGATCATGTGGAGGATTAGCAACAGGGGAGTGGGAGGAGGAGAAGTGGGGAGAAGGTACAGAAAATAAGTAGCATAGACAGTAGGTTGAAAATAGATAGGGAGGAGAGCAAGAATTGTATGGGAAATACAGAATCTAAAGAACTGGAGACAAGTGGTCATAAACTAAAGAGGGGAATAGTGGGGGAGGGGGTGTGCAAGGTGGAGGGGAATGAAGG